AGGGCACCTGCAAGAACTGGGGCGCCCGCCGCCCCCGCGCCCGGCTGGCACCGACCCACACGCCCCTTCGGGCCTCAGCCCAGGCCCAGGGGGCCCGAGGAGCTAAAGGCAGGTGCCCGGGCGCAGGTGGGCCGGTGCCAGCGCTGGGACCCTCCTGACCCCGCCCCCGGGACACACTCTCTTCAGAGGGGCCCCTGGCCTGCAAGGGGGCTCCAGGGGTCCCGGCCCAGGAAGGGGGGCGCCTGCTTACCGTGGACAGAGCCTGAAATAGGCAGTAGAAGGTCATGTACCAAAGGCCTCGAAGGTTGGTGAAGGGGGGCAGGAACCACAGGAAGAAGTAAGCCGCTGCGATGAAGGGCGTGCAGCCCAGCACCCTGTGGGCACCGGGGAGCTGGAACACCCAGGGCACCAGGGTGGGGCCCCAAAGGGCTGCGGGAGCAGACTCACCGCCCTGAGCATCAGCCCTCTGCCCGGACAAGCCCTGGGCCGGGGCTCTCAGGGCCGGCGATGGGGAGGGCTGATGGGACCTGGAGGTAGCCAGGAGTGGGGCGCCTGACCCTGTGCAGGGCACTTGGGTGCGTGGTTGTGCTATGCCCTCTATCAGGAACCCCGGACACAAGAGTCGTACCTACTCTGCAAGACCCTCCATGGCCTCCAGCCCACCCTGGCCACACTCAGACTTCTGGGCCAGGCCTGGGAGTCCTGGAGGCTTTGTCCAGCCCTGAGCCATCTGGTGAGGGAAAGTCCCCCAAATGTCTCTGAATTCCTGCATGATAGTCTGGCCCAATCCGGTATCATCACCTACTGTCCAGTCCCATCACCTGCTGTCCAGTCTTGTTCTCTAATGATCCACAGGGTTTTCTACTAAGAATCAGGGCTGTGATGACCACAAGGACCTCAGGCTATGGGTGGGTGCCAGACTTGAAGGACCAGGGGCTGCTCACCAGGGCATGAGTCGTCCAGACCCTGTCCTCCTGCTTCTGCTGATGAAAAACCCAGCCAAGGGGTCAGCAGCTGCTCCAGACACCTTCCCTCCAAACAGGACGAGTGATACCTGGGCGGCAGGGATCTGAAATGGGCGGGGGAGGAGATAGCCAAGGATTGGCAGAGTCAGAGAGGGTGTCCAGCCCTGCCCACCAACCAGGAGGGGAGGGGGATCTGGGAACCTGGCTGGGGCCAGAGGCAGAGTGTAAAGGTCTATTCAGCCTCTTCCTCAGGACACTAATCCGGAGGCTCTCAGGGCACATCCATGCTGGTGGAGGAAGGTGGGGGGAGGGAGCTCTCCGCCACACGTGGGCACATTTCCACTGTTACTCATGCCCAGTCACTTTGGGAGAAGACACAAGGGACCCTCATCTCAGGTGGCTCAGTGCAAGAAGGGTGCACCTAGGCTGACAGTCATAGGTAGACTTTTTGTCTCATAACAAAAATTGATTTGATTGATTTTTCTGATTACATAAATGATACACTCACTATAAAAACGTTCAAACAGTATAGAAAAATATTGAGCAAAGCTCATCTGAAATCTCACCATCTTGAGACAACTGCCAGAAGCATTTTAATGATCACCCTTTAATAAATTTATATATATTTGCAATTTATAATCTGATATAAATGCAACCATATTAGTGTCATTTACAAAAATCATTAATACCTTACTAAAAAAAATTTTTTTTGCCCGGCCAGCGTGACTCAGTGGTTGAGCATCAACCTAGGATCCAGGAGATCACTGCTCCATTCCTGGTCAGGGCACAGGCCCGCGTTGCAGGCTCCATCCCCAGTAGGGGGCGTGCAAGAGGCAGCCGATCAATGACTCATCATTGATGTTTCTGTCTCCCTCTCCCTCTCCTTTCCTCTCTCTGAAATCAATAAAGATATATTTTAAAAAATATATTTTTGCTTACTCTATACTGCAATAGCCAACATTAAGAGCCTGGTAATTTTCTGTACATTTTTCTCCATGCTCATTTTTAATCACGTACTGACACAAACACACACATACTCATGCACATACATATATGGGGCATGTCTTTGTTTTGCTAAAATGGGATCGTTTTATATACTCATGGAAATCCTTCTACAACAACAGGTATAGATCTAACCCATTCTTTTAGTGGCTATATAATAGTCCATTTATGGAGATAGTGCGGGTTATTACCCAACTGCATCTATATTGTTGGGCATTCACATTGTTTCCCATTTTCCACTACAAACAGCCTGCAGTAAACATCCTTGAGGAGGCTGCCCTCAATAGCATTTGGCTTTTTGTCAGGCTTAAGTCAAAGACGGGAGTAGGGGGCCCTGGGCTCCTGCCCACACTCACCTGTGCCACATCTAGCAGGAAGAGCTGCAGGTAAAAGGCTGTGGCGCTGGAGGCCGCCTGGTTGGGGACCCCGCCAATGCCATAGCAAACCTTCGTACAGAATGGGAGGCGACCAGCTCTTCTGTCCTGGGGGAGACATGGGAGCTAGGCCTCACCCTCCCAAACACATAACAGCTCCCCGCACCCTCATGACTTCTATAAGCATCCTGAGGTCCCTATGTCTTGAGGGCTTTTCCTGCAACCTTCTCAGTCCTAATTTGCCCCAAATCATCTCAAAGGGAAGTGAGACAGAAAAAGAAAGAAAAAAGCATAAAATATGACCTCTAAACTCTTCCAGGGGGAAGTTCTTCCTTACATTTCCCCCAGTGCTTTCTGCTTCGGTCTTTTATTTTCTGAGTCAGCAAGCCTGAGTGAACTGAGGGTCAGGAGGCCCCTAACTTTGCCACCAACTCCCTGTGTGACCTCGAATAAACCACTTTCCCTCTCTAAGCCTTATCTGTCAAAAGGAAAAGTCCTGACAACTTCACAGGGTTTTTTTGATAAGCAAATGGGGTAATGGCGCTAGGAGCTGATTGTTATATGTTCAGGACATTTTGCAGCCAGTTGTTGAGTGACCAGCAGCCTGAAATCAGCCATGGTGACGGTATTTACATCACTGAAATCAGCAAGCATTAAAAATCAGAGCTTTTTTTCTTCTTTTTTTTCTGGAGAGACTGTTTATCAGCCTACCACTGAAATGAAGTAATGGTTATGACCCCAAATGTTTGTGTATATATAGGGTGTCCCTCCAAAAATGTATACACACACTTTGAATAATTACAAAGGCAGTGTTTATTAAAATACATTTCATTTTCAAAATTGAACTATCAGCTGTTAAAGTGTGTATACATTTTTTGGGACACCCTATATATCTCACAAGCCCTAAGCTATCCAGCAGACTCCAGACTCAAATATTCAACTGCCTACTCACAGCCCTATGTGGTTGCCTAACAGGCATTTCAGCTTAGCATGGTCAAACACACAGCTTCTGATTTCCATCCCATTGTTTCAACCAACTCCTAACCCTGTTGTCCCTATTGCATTAAATGACCCCAGTGTCCACTCAGCAGCTCAGGCCGCAGACCCAGGGGTCACCCTCAATTCCCTTTCCCGATTCCCCCGTCTAATATATCAGTGAGAGCCTCCTAAGTGGCTCCCCTGCTTCTGCTCTCAGTCCCTACTGTCCACTCTCCATCCAGCAGCCAAAGTGACCCTTTCATGACATAGTTATGCTGTGCCTCCTTTCTGCTTAAAACCCTCCAACGCCTTGCCAGTATACTCTGAATAAAACTCCAAGTCCTCACCACGCAGCCTACGAGAGCCCACTCAATCTGCCTCATTCCCTTTCCCACCTCACTTCAGGTGGCTCTCCTCAACCAGGAGAGCCTCCGGCCTATTCCTCAAAATGACCGTGCTTGTCGCTACCTCAGGGCCTTTGCACTTCCTGTTCCTTCTGTCTGGAAGACTCTTCCTCCAGGTCCTTGCAGAGCTGAGTCCTTGTCATTCAAGTCTAAGCCTAAATGTCATCTCCTGAGAGAGGCCTTCCCTGGCCACCCACGTTTCTTTTTCAATTGTACTTACTTCCTGAGACACTCTTATTTTTTTTCCTGCCTCTCTTCATCAGAATATAAATTCTCTGAGGGCATGACTTACTCACCACTGCGCCCCCAGTACCTAGAACAAGGCTTGACATATAGCAGATGCTCGGTATATGTTTGTTGAAGGAATAAATGCCTTGAGGACACTGTGTAAAGGGCCATTTCTCTGGGAGATGCTGGGAATTCTTCTTTGTCATCCTTTGCTTGGGGGTGGGTGGGGGAGTGGAGAAGACTGTGGCTTCACCCATTCTGGTATCTCGCAGGCCACCCTGATGGGCCCTTTTGAAGGGAAGGCCTTCCCAGATAAGAGTTTATCACACCCTTTGCACACTCTCCCCACAGAAGAAAACCGAACGCGGAGCAGGATGCGGTCTCCTTTTCTGGCATTGTGCGAACATTATTTCAACTTCCAGAAAACTCTAACAACAGGCAGAATCCCGATAGCCCTCCTGCCCCTCCCGGTAATGGGATTCTTGTTTCCCCCTAAATATGTCTAGCAACTTTCTGGCACGTGGAAGGTACTTGAAAGATAAAGGGGGGGGGGAATTCCAGCTGAACCTGGAATCTTGGTGATTTCATGCACCTAAATCATAAGCCCCTGACCTCGGCCGAGCCCGAGTTGAGCGTGGGCACCCGGGGATTCCAGTCCCGCGCCTGCCACTTCCAGCTGCGGGACCGGGCAAGTCACCTCCCCGGCTGCGGCGTTTCCTCCCATGTTAACTGGAGATAACACAGCCCCTCGGGTGGTTTGAGAATTCAATGCCGCTACTTCACTGGCAACGTCAGTGTCCCCTCTTGCCCTCTGTCACCCTCCTGAACTTCTAAATTCTCTGCAAAACGAGCCTCCTCAGAGAGCATCCTTACAGGACTCTCTTGGGGGCCGCAGTCCTTTGCTCTGAGGTGCCTGAGAGTTGGGGGTGACGCTGAGGTGGCGGCGGGGTGAAGCCACAGACGGGGACTGGCTCACTGGGAGCAGCGGGGTTGGCGTGGGGCGGACACTGACTCCAGCGCCCACCCGCGCGGCGCGGGTCCAGCCGGCCCTCTGCCCTCACTCCGCGGCCTGGTGGCCAGAAAGGACATCTCTGGGGCCATCTCCCAAAGGCGAGCCTGGTGCCTGGACAAGTCGGGGTTGGGGAAGGTGGCTAAGCCCCCCCCCCATCGGCCTGGGGGCTGGGGAAGGGGGGCAGCCTCCTCGCGGGGCAACGGCAAGACCTACCTGCCCGGGGTTCAGGGGAGCCCTGGGGAGCCCTGGCGCGCGGTGGACGGGAGCCTAGACCGGCACTCAGGTGACCAGGGGCCGGCCCGGGTCCCGAGCCGCTGAACGCATCCAGCAAGTTACTTGTCTAGGACCCAGTTTCGCGGGATACTCCTTTGGGGGGATCCCGAATACCCGCAGCCTCGGGCTCGCAGCTGTCGAGGCCCACTAGGGGCGGTTCAGGCGGGGGCCCCTGCAGGGCTGCCCCTGGCTGGCTGAGGGGCCGCGATCAGACGCCCTCGGGGTCCCTGGGGCCGCCCTGCCCCG